CAGATTGTGCACTCATGCGCCCAATCTCACAGTCTTTATACAGAAGTAGAAGTTGAAGAGCAGTGCAAACTTGTTGCATTTATTTTTAGGCTTACAGCTCTGTGTAATCATTAGCCTTTATTATGAGCTTTGTGAATAGCTTAAAATGGAATAGTCTATGATTGGTTTACCACTTACCAGTACTTCTGCTACAGGGTGCAGGGCCGTGTCACTGTATATATACAGTGATTTTGCATTCCTCATGCACCACCCGCGCCCTTGTGGCTGTTGATCACTGGGTCCTGGCCAAGTATCCCCACCAGCACCTGTTGATGCCAAGTATCATTGATGAAAGAGAGGTCTGTATGTAAACAATACAGATCTCTCCCCTGTCAGCTCCTGCACACTGCTTTGTATTACTCTGCATAGCAATTTTCTTTGTTACTGTTATAAAATTTTGCAAATAAATAATCTTTCTTCATAAATTTAGGCCAACATGTATCCTTCTACATTTATTTGGTAAAAATAGTCCAAATCATTGTGTATTATTTAGTCTGTAGAAAAGTTATAGACCTGTTAGTTTAACATCTATAGTTGGGAAGATACTGGAGAGTTTAACCTCCCTAGCGGTCTGATTATGTCCATATTTCTGTGCTCATTTTTTTTGCATGGAAATATGTATTTTTTTTATTGTAGGGCTGTAATTTTTAGGAATAACTCACTGAAATCTGTCCGAACAAGAGTCTAGTAAACATCCTGGGTATGATAAAACTTGAAACACGAAATCATAAATTATAATTTAATAAATAATCATAAAAAATAATATAATAAATTTAATTCAATAATATAATTAGAGATGAGCGAATCGAACCAGGCGAAGTAGAATTCGCTTCGAATATCGGGAAAAATTTGATTCACATCGAATCCGAATTTTAGCCAACTTCGGGTGCACGAATCAAATTTTTCCCGATCAGCCGGCAAAAGTGTCACTGCAGAGAGCTCCGCTATTTCTGACAGTTCTGACAGTTCATTTACAGCGGTTGAAACATTGTATCTATTTGTTTCCATTTAGGATACAGATGTTTTTATTCGGAAATAAATAGATACAATGTTTCAACTGCTGTAAATGTGAAGGAACTGTCAGAGAACTGTCAGAAATAGCGGAGCTCTCTGCAGATACACTTTTTGCTGTACTGGAATACTTCTTCTTTTCATTCTTCTTCTTCTTTTCATTCATCTTCTTCTTCTTCTTTTCATTCTTCTTTTCATTCTTCTTCTTCTTCTTTTCATTCTTCTTCTTATTATTTTCATTCTTCTTTTCATTCTTCTTCTTCTTCTTTTCATTCTTTTCATTCTTTTCATTCTTCTTTTCATTTTCATTCTTCTTTTTCATTCTTCTTCTTCTTTTTCTTCATTTTTCTTCTTCTTTCTTCTTTTCATTCTTTTCTTCTTCTTTTCATTCTTCTTCTTCTTCTTCTTCATTCTTCTTTTCATTCTTCTTCTTCTTCTTTTCATTCTTCTTCTTCATTTCTTCTTATTCTTCTTTTCATTCTTCTTCTTTTCATTCTTCTTCTTCTTCTTTTTCATTCTTCTTCTTCTTCTTTTCATTTCATTCTTCTTCTTCTTCTTTTCATTCTTCTTTTCATTCTTCTTCTTCTTCTTTTCATTCTTCTTTTTTCATTCTTCTTCTTCTTCTTTTCATTCTTCTTCTCATTTTCTTTTCTTCATTCTTCTTTTCATTCTTCTTCTTCTTTTCATTCTTCTTCTTCTTCTTCTTCTTTCATTCTTCTTCTTCATTTCTTCTTCTTCTTTTCTTCATTCTTCTTCTTCTTCTTTTCATTCATTCTTCTTCTTCTTCTTCTTTTCATTCTTCTTTTCATTTCTTCTTCTTTTCACTTCTTCTTCTTCTTTTCATTCTTCTTTTCATTCTTCTTCTTCTTCTTTCATTCTTCATTCTTCTTCTTTTCATTCTTCTTCTTCTTCTTTTCATTCTTCTTTTCTTCTTCTTCTTTTCATTCTTCTTCTTCTTCTTTTCATTCTTCTTTTCATTCTTCCTCTTCTTTTCATTCTTCTTCTTCTTCTTTTCATTCTTCTTCTTCATTCTTTTCATTCTTCTTTTCATTCTTCTTCCTCTTCTTTTCATTCTTCTTCTTCTTCTTTTCATTCTTCTTCTTCTTCTTTTCATTCTTCTTCTTTTCATTCTTCTTCTTCTTCTTTTCATTCTTCTTCTTCTTCTTTTCATTCTTCTTTTCATTCTTCTTCTTCTTCTTTTCATTCTTCTTCTTCTTTTTTCATTCTTCTTTTTCTTTCTTCTTCTTCTTCTTTTCATTCTTTTCTTCTTTTCTTCTTCTTTTCATTCTTCTTCTTCTTCTTTTCATTCTTCTTATTCATTCTTCTTTTTCTCTTTTCATTCTTCTTCTTCTTCTTTTCATTCTTCTTTTCATTCTTCTAATTCTTCTTTTCATTGTTCACAGCAGTTGTTCATTTCTTCCTTTTCATTCTTCTTCTTCTTCTTTTCAACCTTCTTCTCATCTTTTCACAGCTTCTTTTCATTCCCTTTTCAGCACAGGGATTCTTCCCCTTTTAATCTTCGCAGCATTCTTCAGACCTTCCTTCAGCACTTCTTCATTTTCATTCTTCTTTTCATTCTTCTTCTTCTTCTTTTCATTCTTCTTCTTTTCATTCTTCTTCTTCTTCTTTCATTCTTCTTTTAATTCTTCTTCTTCTGAACATTCCAGGAACTCATTCTTCTTCTTCTTTTCATTCTTCTTTTCATTCCTTCTTCTTCTTCTTTTCATTCTTCTTTTCATTCTTCTTCTTCTTCTTTTCATTCTTCTTTTCATTCTTCTTCTTCTTCTTCTTTTCATTCTTCTTCTTTTAATTCTTCTTCTTCTTCTTTTCATTCTTCTTTTTATTCTTCTTCTTTTCATTCTTCTTCTTCTTCTTTTCATTCTTCAGCATTCTGTTCTTCTTTTTCATTCTTCTTCTTCTTCTTTTCACTTCTTTTCATTCTGGGAACTCTTTTCTCTCAATGGGCAGAGCAGGTTACAGACCCTTCTTTTCTCTTTTTCATTCTTCTTCTTCTTCTTTTCATTCTTCTTCGCATTCTTCTTCTTGCATTTTTCTTCTTCTTCTTCTTTTCATTCTTATTTTCATTCTTCTTCTTCTTCTTTTGCATTCTTCTTCTTCTTCTTTTCATTCTTCTTTTCATTCCCCTTCTTCTTCTTTTCTTCCTGGGACCTCAGCACAGGGATGGTAGAAACTCCACCACGGGAACAGCATTTGTACAGTTCCAGGAATTACTGTATTTTGCTCCTTCAGGGATCCTGGGAACTCCTTCCTAATGGGCAGAGCAGGTGTACAGACCCAGGAACTCAGCACAGGAATGGTGGGAACTTCTCATAATGGACACAGCAGGTGTACATACCTGGAAGGAATTCAGCACAGGGATGGTGGGAACCCCTCATAATGGGCACAGCAGGTGTGCATACCCAGAACCTCAGCACAGGGATGGTGGGAACCCCTAGTAATGGGCGCAGCAGGTGTGCAGACCTGGGACCTCAGCACAGGGATGGTAGAAACCCCTCATAATGGGAACAGCAGGTGTACAGACCCAGGAATTTAGCACAGGGATGGTGGGAACTCCTCCTAATGGGCAGAGCAGGTGTACAGACCCAGGAAACTCAGCACAGGGATGGTGGGAACTTCTCATAATGGGCGCAGCAGGTGTGCAGACCTGGAACCTCAGCACAGGGATGGTGGGAACCCCTCATAATGGGCACAGCAGGTGTGCATACCCAGAACCTCAGCACAGGGATGGTGGGAACCCCTCATAATGGGCACAGCAGGTGTTAGGGGGTTTAACTCTCCAGCATCCATTAGAGACTGATATAGTAATATAGTTCATTCTTCTTTTCATTCTTCTTTTCATTCTTCTTCTTCTTTTCATTCTTCTTTTCATTCTTCTTCTTCTTTTCATTCTTCTTTTCATTCTTCTTCTTCTTTTCTTTTCATTCTTCTTCTTCTTTTCATTCTTCTTTTCATTCTTCTTCTTCTTCATTCTTCTTCTTCTTCTTTTCATTCTTCTTTTCATTCTTCTCATTCTTCTTTTCATTCTTCTCATTCTTCTTCACATTCTTCTTTTCATTCTTCTTCTCATTCTTCTTTTCATTCTTCTTCTTCTTTTCATTCTTCTTTTCATTCTTCTCATTCTTCTTTTCATTCTTCTTTTCATTCTTCTTCTTCTTCTTTTCATTCTTCTCATTCTTCTTTTCATTCTTTTTTCTTCTTCTTTTCATTCTTTTCTTCTTCTTTTCATTCTTCTTTTCATTCTTCTTCTTTTTCTTTTCATTCTTCTTCTTCTTTTCATTCTTCTTTTCATTCTTCTTCTTCTTCTTTTCATTCTTCTTCTTCCTCTTTTCATTCTTCTTTTTCTTCTTCTACTTCTTCGTCGTGCCCCGTGACTGCCCAAATGAGTGAAGTGTGCGGTGATTCTAAGATCGACGGCACTCATCTGCATGTCATACTGACTGACAGTATTATTTCTCTTCCCCAGCAGACTCCAAGGGCATTTAAATTAAAGGTACAGTGTTCTGCACTAATATAAAGGCTCTCTGAAGCCTAGAAACCCTTTAAATAAGTTAAATTTGCGGCGAATAAATTCGCATCGAATCAAATTTCTCCCGCAAATTCGGCAAATCAGCCGAATTGAATTTTTGAATAATTCGCTCATCTCTAAATATAATCAAACCAAAAACACTGAAATTTGAAATAGAGCGCCAAGTTTGCACATCGCTGAGCAAAGTCGCAAAATCGTTTTCAGTGTCTGATGATGACTTTCCCCACAAATTATCACTCAATTCTGCAAGTATTTCTAATTTACTATCGCTGTTCTCTAGCTGGTCTAAAACTGCTTTTGACCTAAAGGGACGTTTTTTGGATGCCATGGACGTTTCTAAGTTTCCAGGCAGAAAGAGCAGTAAAAATGCAGGCAGGGCACAGGACAAAGTACTGGGGACAAAATATATGTGAAATGGTTTGATACAGTAATGTTTTACTATGGTGATTTTAGTGAAAGTCACTTCTTGTCATTTTCAAATTTCCCGCCGTTCCGTCCCCCATACGTCCCGACGCTCACAGATGCCGGCATCCGCTGGATTACATTGCCGGGGACACTGCAGGAGGGACATCGCGGGAGCGCAGGACAAGGTAAGTGATCCAGAGATCGCAGAGCAGCGCTGCATGGTAAGTCCGAGTGTAGCTCGGGGTTACCGCTTGTGGTACTGAAACTTTACCCCGAGCTACACTCGGGAATACCACCAGGGAGGTTAATAGAGGACCACATAGATGAGTTTTTGCTGGAAAAAAATATTTTATGCAACAGACAGCATGGATTCATGAAAGACAGAAGTTTTCAAACAAATCTGATTTCTTTCTATGAGGGGGTGAGCAAAACCTTGAACAGAGGGATGGCTTTGGACGTGGTTTACTTGGATTTTGCAAAAGCGTTTGAAACAGTTCCCCATACATGGACAATGTGTAAGGTAAAGTCTACAGGCTTGGAAAAATCAGTATGTACATGGATAGAAAACTGGCTAAAAAGATCGTATTCAGAGAGTAGTGGTTAATGATATATACCCTGAATGGTCTAGTGTTGTCAGTGGTGTACACAAAGGTTCACTGTTGGGACCCTTACTTTTTAATACACTTATAAATGATATAGGGTCTGGGATGAAAAATACAGTTTCAGTCTTTGCAGATGACACCAAGCTTTGCAGTGGAATAATGTCCTTTACAGGATGTGTTCAACTTCCAAGCCGACCTCAATACAATTGGGCAACTATGTGGCAAATGAAGTTTAATGTTGAGAATTGTAAGGTTATGCACTTGGGGGCTAGGAATATGAATGTATCATACATACTAGGGGGAGTACAACTGGGGGAATCAATGGTGGAGAAGTATCTAGGAGTTCTGGTAGATCACAAACTAATAGTTGCATGCAATACCAAGCTACGGTTTCTAAAATGAGCAAAATTCTCTCTTATATTAAGAGATATAGACTCTAGAAAGAAAGAGATATTTCCATTTCCCCCCTGTACAAATCATTAGTGAGACCTCATTTGCATTTGGAATATGAAACTCAGTTTTGGGCACCAATTCACAAAAAGAACATTGGGGGAAACTGGAGAAAGTAAAGAGAAGGGCAACCAAACTGACTAGAGGCATGGAGGAGCTCAGCTATGAAGAAAGATTAAGGGGGGATATGATCAACATGTATAAATACATTAGTGATTCATGAGGTCATCACAGAGGACAAGGGGGCTCTTTTTACATTTAGAGGAAGAGCGATTTAATCTCCAAACATGGAAAGGTTTCTTCACAGTAGTAAGAGCTGTGAAAATGTGGAACAGACTCCCTCAAGAGTTGGTTCTGGCCAGCTCAGTGGATTGCTTTAAAAAAAGTCCTGGATTCTTTCTTAGATACACATAATAGAACTGGATACTAACATTTATAGGTAAAGTTGATCCAGGGAATATGTGATTGCCTCTCAGGTGGATCAGGAAGGAATTTCTTCCCCTGCAGGAGTAAACTGGATCATGTTTTGCTGTTTTCTTTTTTGCCTTCCTCTGAATTAACTGTGGATATAGGATTAAAACTTTTTTTATGGTTGAACTGGATGCACTTTAGTCATTTTTTCAGCCAAACTAACTATGTAACTTTATATAGAGTTTGCAAACTATGGTATATATCTGAAAATCAATCGAAAACATTTTTCAATTTCCTTTTTTTTTTCTTTTTTCTTTATTTTTTCTTTCTTCTTTTTATGATTTTTTTTTAACAGACTGTGACCAGAGCAATACAGTGTTACCATAGTAACATTGTACAACTCTGGGTAAGTAATCAGGATTTTTTTTCAATCCATTTGGCTTGTTAATTTTTCTGAGACTTTATAAAAAGTAGCAACATTTTTAAGATGCCTATTTCACTTGAGGTAAGCTCACTGTGCTTTGTATCAGAAGCATCATTTTTTGTGCCTTCAAAAAAAGGACAAAATCACAGCATAACGTTTGCACTGTTACTGGGTAACTAATACTCATAGTTCCCATATGAAAGAAATAAATGTGGATATTTTAATGTATTAAAAACCATGGCTCATCATGTTTCTTACAATTAAATAACACTAATTTACCATTTCTCAGTGGCCTGACCCCTGAAATACTCACCATGCAAGCCATTTATTTTTTTATTGAAACTTGGAGCTGTGAAAGACAGCAGTACTTATTTCTTCACTATGCATCAGTTTCAAGAACTATATCTGACCCCTTTTAGCTTGGTTGTGAGCCCAACTTTGTTATATTCAGCCTAGGTTCCAAACGTCCTTACATTGGCAATGGAAATCATTTTTAAAAATAAATTTAGTAAATGGTCAATGGCAGTTAGAAAATATGGGACATCAACATGTTATTTAAATTAGATTTTTTTTAGATTACAACAGTGTTCAAAAAGGTAGCCATTTTAGAGAAAGAAAACTACTTTTTTAGGTTGAATAATGTCTCCCACAATCCAAAATAGTCCTTTAACAAAATATTTTTAAAACAGTAGAGAAAAATAAATGGAAAACCTCAAAGAAAATGTGTTTATTATATTTAATTTCTTAAAAATAGACTAGACACATAGAATTTCTGGCAGAAAAAGAACAACTGGTCTACTTTATCTGCAGATTTTTAATTAACAGTTTATTCCAGTGATGCATCTGTGTTTATCACAAGCATGTCAAATTCCTCTATTATTTTTTTACAGCTACATCTGCAGTACATTACTACAAATTTAACTACTGTGATGTTCTCTACAGCCATCACCGCCATTTCATCGCCCCAACTTCCTCTTACCAGTAAGCAATATGATGTGATCTTTCTATTGTTCAGTATGAAAATCTGGTAATTAAATGTAACACTTATTAGATCAACATATAATCAGACCTGCTTCACTTTTCATTCACATGAAACTTAAAGCATTCCTAAAAAGACAATATTCTTCAGCCAAGTGGTTAAGTAGAGAAATTATGTCTTTAATTAATAGGGGAAATCAATCTTTAGCTTAGAATCAGGCTACTCCACCCCTCTTCCCCTCTTGATGTCAAATAGCCGTCTCACTAGCATTCACACTTCAGCAGAGCAAAATTCATTGTGAATTTTAAGTATTTTTTCAAAGCATTTTAAGCATTCCAGCTTCAAGTGTTTATTCCCTCGTTGGGATTTTGGGAAATGAGAGTAGAGCAATTCTACAGAAGAAGAGGAGTTCTTTAGGCATAAAAACACATGCAATATGCATGAAGCAGTATGCTTGTATCATGGGGCGAAAAAGGCCTAAATACACTAAATGATTGTAGAATGTAGAATGTAGGGCAACTGAGTGCACAAGTGTGAACAAGGATGATTATAACAAAATGTGATTCTGCATGTTGAGGTATAGTTGGGAAAACAAGCAGAAAAAAATGCTAGGAGCAGAGCTAAAACTATCACAAAAGAATATTTTAGTTTTTGTAGAGCACTGTAAGTAAAACAGGATCATATTATTTTTGTTACAAAAAAAATAGGCTCTCATTACTTTGACGTTTCCTCTCCCTGTGCTGTGCGCATCCCATAGACTCCTTGTATGAACTTGCAAAGAAAAGAATGGAGAAGGTGCCACTCAGTGTAGACTGTGAAACACATTTACTAAAAACAATATAAAATACACTCACATGCAGGAGTGAAAATATAAGCACATCTGTTATCTGGTGAGAACCAAAGACCTGTAAGCTGGAGGCTGCTGGTGGTAGCCTCCCTGTGCAGTATTCCCGACTGTAGCTCAGGGTAAAGTTTCAGCACCACAAGCGGTAACCCTGAGCTACACTCGGGCTTACCATGCGCGCGCTGCTCCGGGATCCCTCGATCACTTACCTTGTCCTGCGCTCCCGCGATGTCCCTCCTGCAGTGTCCCCCCGGCAATGTAATCTGGCGGATGCCGGCATCTGTCATCTGGGTTCCGTCCCCTGCGAGCGTCGGGACGTATGGCGGACGGAACGGCGGGAAATTTGAAAATGACAAAAGTGACATTCACTAAAATCACTAAAAATCACATAGTAAAACATTACTGTATCAAAGCATTTCACATACATTTTGTCCCTAGTGCTTTGTCCTGTGCCCTGCCCGCGTTTTTACTGTTCTTTCTGCCTGGAAACTGATAAATGTCCATGGCGTCCGAAAAGCGTCCCTTTAGGTCAAAAGCAGTTTTAGACCAGCTAGAGAACAGCGATAGTAAATTAGAACTACTTGCAGAATTGAGTGATAATGATTTCTGGGGAAATTCGTAATCAGACACTGAAAAAAAGATTTTTGCGACTAAGATCAGTGATGTGCGAACTTGGCGCTATATTTCAAATTTCAGTGTTTTTGGTTTGATTATATTATTAAATTAAATGTATTACTATTTTTTATGATTATTTATGAAATTATAATTTTATGATTTCGCGTTTCAAATTTTAACATACCCTGGGTATGTTTACTAGACTCTTGTTGGACACATTTCAGTGAGTTATTCCTAAGAATTACAGGCCTTCAATAAAAAACGCCAAATTTCCATGGCAAAATAATGGTACTGTTTTTCAGCACCAAAAATCTGAAATAACCATACCGCCAGGGAGGTTAAAGTCCTTTTCCTGTATGTCCAGGCTGGCTAGGTGGTGAGGAAGACAGGAGGGGAAGTGGTGGAGCTCAGTGGAGTGCAGATGGAACGCAGTGTCAGCATGACTAAATCAACCAGAAGTGATACAACGGCGTTTCAAAGCATGTGCACCGCAACAGGGGCGTGCTCCTTTGTCTAGCTTGGTGACTATAGCAAAATGTACCAGTGCAGATGCATTGGCAGATTCATTGGCAGAGCTGTTTGCAGCTGCTTGTAGCTCAACTTGAACACAGGAATGCAGTAACAGAAGTGAGCAAGTGTTTCCACCCTAGTACATTAAGGTGGAGATTTTTCTTAAAATTGGAGCACTCCAAATTTGGTGTGCAGCATTGCATGGTAGCCAGTCATATTCTAACTTCAGATTGTTCAATTAAAGGATAATTTAACCTTTCCACAAAAAATAATAAATGCATATTTTTTTGTGGGCAAAAATGGTGCATTTAATATTTTTTGTGTTAGAGCTTGTAAAGCAAAGCTCCAGTGATCTGCAGATTGCTAATGCCATGCAGGTCTCCTGCTTCACACTTTCAGTTTATCTGCTTGCTTGTTCATCCCATACAGGCAAGCCAATACATGCTGACAGGAAGACTCAATGAACTGCCACAGTGCTCATTGCGCTGTGGTAGTTTATTGAGGATTACAAGCCGACAGCCGCCTAAGGATGTTGGCTTGTAGTCCATTTCATTCACATAACACTGTGAACCATGTAAAACCATGAGTTATCCACCATGACATAAAGGCAATCTTATCGGAGTCCCATTGGGGAATATAGCCTAAGTGTAAAAGCGGTAAATGGTTGGAGAAAGTAGATCCACCGTAATCCTTACATGAGTCACCTAATTTGTTTAAGAAAGAGCCATGACATGGTTTACAACAGTTAAGGCCGCAAAGGAAGGATGAAGCCGGGGCAAGGCTGAAGGCAAAAGGGGGATGTCTTAATGGGAATTGTGACCGTCTCAGGACGTATTCCCTCGAGAACTGTCGGCTGTGGGTACTGCGGCATGAGCGAGGCTCGTCCTGCTTTTTTTCTGAGGCTGTCAACTTGCTTGGTGTTCAGCTTGACACCTTTCTTGGAGTGTACTCATATGATGGGTAATAAAGTTGAATGTTTTTAAAAAAAACGTACGTCCATCTTTCCTTTTTAATTTCCCCGAGCATTGCCACAATTTATGAAGAGAGTGACCGTTTGATTTTAAGGGTTTTCCCTCCGTGTTTATTTGGCTGATTGAGTAAATTTCTCCCAAAATTTTGGAAAATTTTTACAGTCTCGCTCCCAGAGCAATAGGCATTCCTTTTTTTATTTATAAAAGGGGATTTTTGTCTAAAGTACTTCAAAACCCACAAGGGAAGTTCTTGAAAAAAAGCTGAATAAAAGGAGCAGGGCCCCAATATAGTAATAATAAACATTTGGGGGACAAAACCCCCCTGAAAATGTGGGTGGTAAACCAACTGTTTAGACAACGGGGGATGTCCTGAAGCCCTAGAAACCATAATTTTTGTGTTGTAAAATATGGGTTATGGGGGGGAAACCCAAAAAAAGGGGGGACCGAAAAGGATAAATAGCTTGGTAAGGCAAGTCATTTTAATGCTTGAGCGTACAAACCAGGTAAGGAAATGGACTGCCA